CCTAAAAAAAAATCAGATAAAAAAATATCTGTAATGTGTTTAGGTTAAGTCGACCTGTAGCTTGTGATATATATATATATATATATATATATATATATATATATATATATATATATATATATATATCACCAAATCTTATATTATATATAAATATATAATAATTTTTTATTTAACACCCCGTAAAACAATTTTGTTTAGATAATACCAAAGAATTTCTCCTCACTAATTTGATCATAACACTTTGCACAAATTTAGTTTTATTAAGCGGTCTCAACAGAATGTTGATAGGAAACATCAACATGTGTTGAATGTTGATCGAGATTTATATTTTTGATATAGAATTCTTATCTCCTCTTTTGGGAGTGTGTGTATAATACATTATTCTTCATTAACAAAATACCAAGTAAATTATTGGTAACAGAAACTCCTTACAAACTCTCATTTGGTCAAATAATCCTAGTTACACTGATTTTAAAGTCTTCCACTGTTAGCTTATGTTTTTAATATTCTTTTCCCTAATAACAAATTTAATCCACATGCTACTCGTATTTTTCTTGGTTATCCCGTAGACTATACAATATGAGCTATTGTTAATTTCAATGCCATCTTTTTTTCTCAACAATATTTTTTAGACGGGAATATGTTTGAGGAAGTTTATTAGATCTTTCCCAAAGAAACAAAGTTAAGGGTGACAATTTTAGCATGCAAACTACATAAATCTATACATAATAAATAGACTTAAAAGTAGTGACTTATAAGTTCTCTTCCATAATCATGGTTCATGGTTTCAACCAATTCAAAGTTAATTATTCTCTCTTCATTATAGATTTAAATACTTCTGTTGTTGTTTTATTAGTTGATGAGTATCACATCATCTTGATTAATCTTAATTCTATAATGATAATTATTATACAGTTAGAATTTTAGTTTCTCTTCAAACTCAAGATCCTTTGAAACTTAAATTTTGAAATGAAAATACATCATTTTTTTTTTTTAAAACCTATATCTATGGGACCCGTTATCATAATATTAATTTAAAAGATAAAGAAGAAAAGAAAGAAGTATTCAAATAAAACATATGAGAATAAAATAATGTTCAACTCTCTAATACCTCCTTAATAATGTATTAAAAATCTTTAAAAAAATGAGAAACCAACTCAAAAATTTGAAGAAAGATCTAAAATTATGGAAGGAAATTAAAAAAAAAATTATAACTAAATAATAAAATTATATAAATAAGTTTTTTTTCTTCTATTTATAACATTTTAAAACTTAATAAAAGACAATTCTTCCTTTAAATAAAATAAATCACTTAAAACTTTTAATAACCCCATTCTCATTTTCATAAGTATAGATTATTTCACTTAACTTATGATTAATTACCAGTACTTATACTTATTATAAGGGAGTAATTATCTTAATCATCATGAATAATGTTTATAAGATCAACCGAATCTTATTATTATATGTTATAATTTACTAAATTTTAAATCAGAACTATAGAAATATTTAATATGAAAGTACCTTATTTTGGTTTTGAATAGGTAAATGCTAATTGATTAATTGCTATAAATATTTGAATTTCTGGTTTAAATTCATTTTACTTTCTTCATCCATTAATATGATAACACATTTCTATCTTAATTTATATAATTACTAATGTGGATCCTGCTTAAAAAAAATAGATTCAATTTGAACTTCCAAAATAATCTTAAAAACTCATGGCTCTTTTCTTTTTTTCTCTCTCTCTCTCAGCTTTTTATTATTCTTGAACTGACTCATGTTTATAAACCAAATTCAATTGCTCTAACCCCAAATTACTCATTTAAGATTCAATAGTTAAATCGTATTAATAAAATAATAATGATAACAGTTATATAATTTTCTCTTGTCATGAATCGACCATCCTTCCAAGTAGGAAAGTAATAACACCATATTCAAGTATCGAGGTTGAAGAAACTGATCTAACTTTGAGTTTCATGACAGATTCTGCAACATGTCAAATAATCGCTTATTTTGCTAGAGCTTTACAGAATAGGCGATTCTTTCCCACAATCAAACTAGTTTCCAACAACAAGCATTCATGGCCAATCAGGAACACTCAAACTTAGAGTTGATTTCTGACAATCAGAAACACCCAAAATCGTAACTAGAGAGATATTGTAATTTTAAGCATTATTATAATCGAAGTCATTATAATATACACACATGGTAATGCTCTGAGTGCTTCGCAACAAGTTAAAAGAAAAGACAATTACAGCATTAAAAAACATGTCTATGACTCAAGCTGAGCATACCAGATACCTTGGATCTTGACATCCTTAGGAGCTTTAGCCCCCAAATCAGTATCAGAAGGCTGAATACTCTCGAACACCCCAATAACCTCTCCAGTCTCAGGCTTGCTCTTGGTCACACTCAACGTGATTTTCCCTTTGGAAGATGAAGCACTTTTGTTGTTTTCCTTTGCAAGTTCCTCCTCATCTCCTCTGCCACCAGCAGGCAAAGCAACTGCATTGTCATAACCGGTTGAGGCACCCCTTCCCTTGGGGTCCAAGAAAGAGGAACCACGGTAAGAGGGAACAAGGAAGTCCCCACTGAAGCTATCTGGTTTCCCAGTGGCCACCAACTGCTTGATGGTGAAGAGGAACGGCACACGCTCTCCCCCGGGAAGCTGAACAGTCACAGCAGCATAGTCGATTCCGTCTTTCTCCTCGAATTTGACCGTTCCGTCGGGTGAAACCTCGAAGGGACCCTCGATCTCGTCGAGGGTGTAGGTGAGACGGGTCATGAGCTTGGTGTTCTGGAACTCAAGAGGGGCATTCTTGGCCACACCCTCTGCCTTCACAGTAAAGGAAGTGGGTTCCAGACAGAGCTTCTTGGCGTTGTATTTGCCTGGCTTGAAGGCGAATGAGTCCACCCCACCATCGATGGTTGGGCACTGGTTTGCAGTTCCAGTTCCCTTCACTTCCAGGTATGTCTTGCTCTGGATTTCGTCGAAGGTTAGCCTCTTCGGAACACCTTCTGCACTTGCTCCCTGAATATTCACAATCACTTCTGTTATTCATACTTTCATTCATTACATCTCATACTTCTTTCTCTACTTGTATAATTTCAAAACATTCTAACTTGACTATGCATGACACTCAATCACAAAACAAGTAGAAGAACTAGTGAATAAGACATCTCAGTGAGAAAATTAGCCTTTTGCATAATTAGAAAGGGCAAAATTAAAGTACCCATGTACAAGACAAGATCATGTGTTACATGTAGTTGTGTCCCAATTTCTAAATGAGAAATTGTTACGTTGGTTTTACTTGTTTGAATAAAAGTCCAGTAATTGAAGATGTTAAGGGAGAAAGGGGAAGCAAAACATACAGAAACAACGAGAGCTGAGGTGGCAAGGGCGAATCCTGCAAGTTTGGTGGCCTCGACGCATTTCTGAGCCAAGTCTTTGAGATCAGCCTGAAGAGAGCAGGTGAGTTTTGCTCCAGCTGGTTCCAAGCCAAAAGCTTTAGAGATGCATTGTGTAGATTTGAGGTTGCGGGAGGTTAAGCCCACCTTGGTGGGTTGCATGAAGGTAGCTGCAGCTTGTAGTGAGGCTGCCATTGATGCTTGTGGAAGGTGTAGCCAGCAAAGTGTTTTTGTTGAGATTGAAAGGAAGTACTTTGTAAGTGGTTTTTGTGAGTGATGGATGGCGGAGAATGGAGAGAATACAAGTATTTGGTGGGTGTGGTGCGAGTAAGATTTCCGATAGGGTAAGGCCATCTCTTATTGGATGACTCGAGCTAACGTCGTTGGTTTTCTTGTTGCCACGTCGGAACTTTCTCAACTGGGATTAAATATATTTCCGTCACAAATCAACTTACTAACAACAACTCCAATCCAACCTACAACTATTTTCCTTTCTTTTTTTACACGTTTCTATCTTCATTACAATTTTTGTGTTATTTTAATACTGTTTTATCTGAGTAACTTTAATTGATACTATATCTCAATATCGTTATCAATTTGTTAATTCACTAAATATTCTAATTCAAATAAAGTTTGTTGAGATAAAAAGGTCAATATTTTATGGAAAAAGATTGGTTAAAGAAGAAACAAAAGAAAAAAAATAGATGAGGAAAAAAAAGGAGAAGAAAACAAATATTATTGCTAAAAATTAAAACTTTTTAATTGGAAAATATTAACTATTTTAATATATTAGATGTCGTCAGTGAAGTATTCAAATTCACGACTTATTTCTCATTCACCTTCACATTAAACTTTTAAACTAAAAGTTAAATTTTTAAAATTATTTTATTTAAGAAAAAATTACTATTATTATTTTGAAACAGGAATAAGGCATGAAAATTAATATATATATATATATATATAATAGAAAGTGAGAGTAGTCACACATATATAGAAAAACAAACAAAACCACATCTTTCACTAGTACTATATATATTAAGTCAATTATAATTTTTATCTATCTAATTATATTTATCATAGAAAAAATAATAAATTATTATGAGTGTTTTATATAACAAAAATATTAAAATGATAATGATATGTTAGAAAAAAAAGTAATAAACATATTAAAAATAATTAAAAATAATATTTTTTATTAATGTAATCAAATTTTAAAAACATAGATATTAAAAAACAAAGTATGCAATCAAACCTTAATTATATTCATTTTCTTTAATTTATAATATGGATATTTTGATAATTCATTAAATTATTTAATTAATATATTTTCTTTACTCTTTTAAATCTATTTCAATTTTTTCTATTTATTTCTCTTTAATTGTTTCAACTAATTTAAACAATTAAACTTTTTACTCTCAATTTTTAATTAAAAAATCAAATGATTTAATTGTTTTTCATATGTACGAATTTTTAAAAGTATTTTTTTACAAGGACAGGAAGAAGTATTGGATATAATGTCTCATCAAAATTTTAGAATTAGGTTTGTTAGAATTATGTGAATCAGAATTTTGTTTGGTGCATAAGCAGCAATGCACATGGTGGTAGTAGTAGCAGGTTTGCGTCATCATGTTGCTATAGAAAAGGAAAAGAGAATTAAAACTCTAAAATCCTAAAACAATTTATATTATTTTCTCTACTATTCTCAAAATAGTGTTCTGACTTCCAATCAGTGATTCACCTTGCGTAACATTGGTGCTTTTGTTGATAGATCTTAAGGTATCAGATTCTCAGGTTGAGGAGCTTGAAGAGATGGTGTCAAAGTTAGCCCAGTTCCAAACCAACATCATCGTCCTCGAAAGTTGTTCATAGTTCTCGGTCTATCATGAAACCAGAAGCAAGTTTTACCTCAAACTTGACATACCTCGCTTTTAAGGGCTCTGATATTCTCTGCTGGATCAAGGTCTCCTAATCACGGGGAGTTTGAAAGGTAAGTGGATCAAACAGTCTTACTCTTCCGTATTCTTTCGTATGGAGTCCTTTTATTTGGATTGTATTGTATCAGACAAATTCATCCATGATCTCAATTTCTTCAAGCTGTGGAGAACCTATTTCCTTTTATTGTGTTTAGTTACCTGATGGTAAATTGTTCAGACTTTCCCAGACTTAATCTTTTAATGATTACCTCTCCACCGTTGAATCTATTTTTAATCAAATTAAGTGGTTATCATCCCCAATTTTATGTTGAGTTGTTTCATATTGGTCTAAAGCCAGAAATCAAATGGGTGGGTGCTTGCTCACCGAGCTCCCGCAATCTCCTATGCCTTAATTGCCCCATGCTAGAGCCTCATTGGCTTCCTCCACCCATGTTTTCCACGTTCAAATGGCAAGAAAAGGGGCATGGCGTCATCTGTGACCAAATGTACTGGCTACAACGCGAAGACTTTTTTCTATTTGAAGTGGACAAGTATGATTGTGTTTCAAACCCTTGTGACTCATCATCACTTGGTTTTGAGCCTACTATAGTGAAGTATAAATTCATCCACTAATCCACCGTGCACCACCATGTTTGGCTACACCCTTTGGTTACTGACTGACTCTTAGACCCTTCATCTTGAGGATAATAGGTCAAGAAGAGAGAAACTTGAAAAATGGAAGTTGAAAACATGTAAATAGGATCTTAGTCGTGAACATTAGATTATCAAGATGCAAGTTGCCACTATAATAAGTCATATTTTCATTAATTCAGAAATAAAAATGATTTTTATACCATATTAATATTATAGTAGAATTATATATTTAATTATATATCAGATCATGCGGTTCAGCTACATGGATATGATATAGGAATTAAGTCTATTTTATATCCCTTTTCTAGCTATTTTCTTAGGCTACTCTAACCTCGAACCAAAAACTATCCTTACACAACATCTAATAATATGGATCAGTGTCCAAGATTAGAATATTTTGATCAAACTACAGTTTAAGATATAGTAACATCAGAAGCGAAAAGAAGATTTTAATCGTGCATAATGAATAGAATTATTAATAATATCAGTGGCAACTAATAATGAAAAGACGATATTATATTAAAGAAATAAATGTAATAACTTAATGAGAACCTATTATCCAGCTCTAATCATCCATAGAATATAATTTTAGATATATCAGTAGCAGCCAAAGCCCATGAGTAAGAGATCATTAGTGATACTGTACAAACAACTTGCACTTATCAAAGAGAAAGACAGTAGCTCAAAAGTGCTTGAAATGCAATCATCGATAAACTCAACACAAATAAAATGTCATTCTCATCACAGCTACTTTTATCGTCTTTCTCTCCATGTAAAACTGAGCTAAGAAAAGAAAAATGAAAACAAACCCTAACAACGAAAACACACTAGGCATTCAGCATGAGTAGGAGGATTGTATTCATCATATGAATCATCATATGAAAATATTCGTAAATATCATCACCATGCCAATATTAAAAAAGCCCCAAATTTTTTTTTCTAAAACATTCAGCATGCATAAAATTAAACACCACACACCCCAAAACAAAGATATAACGAAGGGTGGAAGCCTCTCAGACAAATGCCTCGATTGTCGTCAGAATTGTAAAGAATGGAAAATGGTCAGACTCGTCATCGTTTTCATCATCACAGAGAAAACCACACCTCACATCCTGTTCCTCGATCAAATCTTAACCCCCAGGCAAGAATAATCAAATCGAATACACTATCATAACATAAAAGCAACAAAGACAAAATCATATCTAGCTACAAAAAACACAAAAAGAAAGGCTGGTTTCAGTAGGAAGAAACGGTGGCTATGGTTCCTTCATACTTCAGAATATGCTTCAATTTTATAGGCCAACAGGTTCCGTTCTGAGGTATTAGGGTTTCGTGTTAACGTTAGAGTTTAATGGGCGTTGAACTGGATGCATTGGGCCTAGCATCATTACCCATTGATGGTGTAAGGAAATTGTCGAGTATAATTTTAGAGTTTAATGGGCCTTGAGCGGGATGCATTGGGCCTAGCATTAACCATAAATTAAATTGCGTCATAAATTGCAACAAAAAGTATACATGAGAGAAATTTTACTGATGAACTCTTTAATAATATTATTTATATATATTAGTAATTTTTATTTTTAGGTGGAAAAAATCCATTAGAAAAAATACATTATTATTTATTAATGACTACTTTCCCAAATGAATCTAACACGAACCCACGACCATAAATTTCATATGAGACGCAATCCAATTTTTAAGTATCCACGTATTTCCATATCAATATTTAAAAATTAATTTTATTTTAAGATGGTCTTATTTATATGGTGTTTGTTTAAGTGTCTTAATTAGAAGCAAAGTAACAGTGAAGTAAAAGTAAGAAAATAATAATAATAATAATAATAATGATAATAATAATAATAATAATAATAATAATAATATTATTATTATTATTATTATTATTATTATTATTATTATTAAAGAGCACCATAAGTAAAATATAATTGAATGCATGTCCATTTAAATTGATTTTTCTATACATATAAATTTATAAGATATGATTATGTAGAATGGTTAATAATGTTAATGAATTTGAGAAGTTAAAAATAATATAAAACCTACTAATTTTTATAAATTATTTTCTCATTTAACTTCTATTTTTATCTTTAATTGATTCGAAAAATTTTGGGCGATATTAATAAAAAAATAAAAGACAATATTATTTTTATAGAACATGTTAAAATAATAATGTTAACTAACAAGTTAGTTAAAAGGAATTTATTAGCATAACAACAAACATTATCAGTAATTGTAATCTCATCTATATTTATTTATTTATTTATTCATCTATGACCAATGTTAGTGTGAAAAGGTAACTAACCAACATCGGTTTACAATTTAGGGTTAGAAATTGACGAATGCCGGAAAACAAAATTGGTTTGGTTAACCTTACATTGCTTCGTTTGATCTTATTTTCACATGACTTTTCAAATTAATAAAAATATATGGAAGTAATTTATTAATAAAATTAAACAATTTAAAACTAATAAAACGCGTGTATTATTATATTAGTAGTTTGAAGATAGTGGATATAGGAATAAGTTAGAGAGAAAGTGACAAGCAAAAGATATGAAATTATGGGCTCTAAATTTTCATTGCTGAATGTCAAGACAGCTCTGGCAACGAATGAAGCAACAATAAGGTGGTTATCACATCATATCACCTGTTAATTTGACAGCTACTACAGGCAATTAATGAAGCAAAATATTATGTTTCTAACTTTTGACACTTGAATACAGTGAGTTTTACTTGTTCATAAAGGTGTATTAATTTGTTACAAACAAAACAAATAGCGTGTTTAAAGGACAACAAATATACGTATTTGCTTCTTTGAAAAGGAAGCCTTTGCAGCTTCTTTTATTTAGTGGACCACTAGTGCTACTGGTTTTTGGGTTCTGGGTACCACTCTAGCATGGGAAAGCTTTCTTTAGAAGAATTAAAATCACTCATTTTCCATCTTTCACTCGATAACACATATGAAGGGTGGTGATGGGATGCAATTCCATTGTATTAGATAAGATTAGATTTTGTTCTGTTCATTACAGAGGAAACACAGAGAGTCAACAATTCAACTGAATTATATTATGACACTATAAAAACCAAACACAGGCGACAAATGCCACTGGACAATTCCAATTCAGCCGTAGTGGGACCCAATGTCAAGTACTCCAAAAGTCCAATCATATTCTCACGTGCCACGAGGGAGCTACTCTATTTATTCACGATGAGGACGACGGTGGGGCCTACCCTCGCGTGTGTCAACCACCGTTGTAGGCTCATGCGAATCACAAACCTGCGTTTTGAACTTGCAACCGAACTTCCTTCCAAGAGAGAGCGAGGCCCACCACGGCCCGCCACCTTCTAGGCCCGTCTTATCCATTTTCGCAATCGCCCGTTTCATCGAAGAACACTCTCGTTCAAGCTGATGCACCCGCGACCTCATGCTATCCATGTCCAAGCGAAGCACCTGATTCTCCCTCACCGTCACCTGCCACGTATTGCTATCGCCGCCATCGTGCGTGCATCCTTCTCCGGCTCCACTACCTTCCGCATCCACGGACGCCACCGAGGTCCTCGCCGGCTCCTCCGCTGCCACCAGCGTTCCAGCGATGGCGTGTCGCAGTTGAAGTTGCTCGAAGAAGAGCACGCGAACCACCGCTCGCAGCGGGAGTCTTTCATTCTGTGCGGCGTGGGTGCACGCCTCCAGCGTAAGTTTCTGGCAGTCCAACACTTCACAAATCTTCTCCCTATCCGATTTTGAAACCCATGGATGCGCCTGCAATTAACGATCCGAAATTATCATTTTCAATGACTAATTATGTTTCCTATGGAAGCTCGTCATGTCGGAATAGATTGTAGGTACCTTCAGGTAAACATCTACGGCGCGATAGAGACCGTCGTGGAACAGTCTCGCTCGATCAGGAACTGAGATAGCGAGATCGTTGAATTTCTTTGGCTTGAGATTCGCATCGGAAGCAATCTCTGAAAGATAACAGTCGATGAGTTTTCCGACGAGCATCAGCGCTGGCGACGTTGGAACGCGGCCGTCGATTGCTGCCACGTTTCGTTCTTCTTCCAAAAAGTGACCTAAAATCCTTGCCACGCAATCGATATCAAACAGAGTTTCGTTTAGGTAGGAATAGCTAGGTATGAGAAGGTCATCCAGGGTAGCTTCATCGAGCTGCGATCCTATTTTTTTTTTCAACACGTCTCTGCATGCTTCGGAAGCGCTCAACATGGTGGCGGTTCGCAACAGTCCGAAGAGAAACCTCACCGGCGTGGAGTGCTTGGACGAGAGGTTTGAGATCACAAGCTCTAGTAACTCTTTCTGTTCTGCTTCTGAAGAACATGATGCCAAGGCCTTCCGATTGGACCTCGACAAACCTGGAATGTGTTTCTTAGCGTATTGCATAAGGCAGGTTTCTATTATCTCTGGCTTCAATTCTGATCCTTTCATGGCGAGAATTAATTGCTTGAACATAGGTGAACCTAGAAGCGTGATCTCGTCAAACCAAGAGTCCTCTTCACCAACGACTACGCATTTTCTTCTTCCGCTTCTTCTCCTCGGCGTGAAAGTGGAATCTCTCACCGGCCACATGAACAGCGCTTCGGAGACGATGGAATCGATGCACCTCTGCATGATGCCTATAGTCTCCGCGAGAGGCCTTAAGCGCTCGCAGGATTTCAAAGCTATGATGGAGTCCTTGACGCTGTTGAGAACGGACTGAGAGAGAAAGGTCTCCGCCTTGGAGATGAGGTTTTCTTCGGAGTGTTCTTCCGTCATCTCTAGAAACTCCCCGGCGCAGCGCAGAGGAGCCACATTGGAAGAACATAATTCAATTTTGGCGCCGAAACAGAATTCCGCGGCTAATTCAAAGGTCTCGGATCCTCCAGGAAAATCTACGAGAACCAAATGGCAGTGTTTCCCTCCCTCTTCTGCTTCTGGTGTGGAAGCAGAGGAATTATTTGCTTCTTGGTTAGTTATTAGCTGCTGAAGCTTTCGACTCTTTGACATGAGAGGGGACTAAAATGAAACATAACACGACACAGGACAAATTTTAGAGAAACAAAGTAGAGAGTATTGTTGGGTGTGCATGATACATAACCTAAGATAAGAATATTGGTTTTAGTGTGGTATTGGAAGCTCACCTTGTGAAGATGGAAGTTCATGTTATCCACTTCAATCACAATGTTACTTGGCAATTCCGTTGAGCAAAACCTGCATAAAGGAACTGCTGTGAATATGGACAGTTTTGGGTTAAGAAAAGAGTGGTTCAGAGGTAGTGAGGGAGAAAAGAGTTACTCATCTAACCATGCTTTCCCTCTGGAACTCAGTTGTACCCTGGCCATTTTCTATGATTCGAAATAATACAAATAGATTTCAGTTGAACTGAATTCTAAAGACACTACAAAGCGTATATCAGAGATTGGACATAAATAGAATGAGAAGGAGGGGGGGAGGGGTTACACAGATTTTATCATCATCTTGAATTGTAGAAAAGTAGACTTGACTAGCACAACCAATTGCAAAATGTAGAAGATGAGAATGAAAAAACAATTGTCTTTTTGTGGTTGCTTTTGAGGTTTTAGGTAGAAAAGAGCTTATAAAAGTTTAATATAAGAAGAAAAAAGAAGAAAGGACTGGGTGAAACAGTATGGAATCCACAAACTCGAAAAGGACAAATAGACCTAGACCAAATTCCTAAAAAGGGGATCCATAGGATCCCTTTCCTTTCTTTATCAGAACTTCCTTTTCTTTTTCTTCTACTCTGACTTTGATCAGAATCTCACTATCTCCTGCTGTTCATCTCTCACTGAGTCACTCATGAATTAAGAAGGCAAATAGACTCAACAAAAAGAGGTGCCATTGATTAGTTGTCTTTTTGGAAAGACAGCAGTCACTCATTACTCATACAGCATTGCTTGCCAACCAGTTTATTACTTTTGCGCAAATGATAGAGTAATTTAGTTTAAGAATGAGAATTCTCGTTTTCTCGCATTCTGAGTTGATTTGCTTAGTTTAATATATCATATTAGCGCGAAAAGAAGAAACATCAAAGATTATTCTCTTAGGTAGAAAGCCCCTGCGACATTAGATAACAGGGGGACGTGCAGAGGTGGAGGACAAGAGCACACGGCACAAGAGCAGAGGAATTTATTCTTTATTAATAGATCCATTAGCATAGAAAAGAATGCAGGTTCATGTTGGTCAATTTCACATGACCAACCCTACATTACATTATTAATATGAACCTCCTTAAACACTTGTAACAAACATACTGTATTACCCTAACAATATCGATCACTATCCCTCTGTATTTGTCGTATAACTCCAAAAGAACTGGCACGGATCAGAATCCAACGCAGCTTCATTACCTTTGAGGATTTCCATTTCCTGCAGAAACCAATGTTTACAAGATAGGTAAACTCCATCACCATAATGACTTAGTATTTACATAATAAGAAAGGCAATTTTTCATAGTCATAAACCACTTTGGTACGTCGTGTGTTTGTTAGTCAAATGTAATTATGTTTGTTATACACTTTTTTGTGTTTCAATCATTATTGCCTCTTAAATGAGCTGTTTCTTGGGCTCGAAATGTATGAAAATTTGAGGAGAGAAGATAAAAAACGAGATACTTCTAATCTCTAGTGTCGCGAGTGAATTAGACGTATATGGTGTATTTTAAACTACGTTTTGGCTGGGGAAAGGGAAGTAAAAGAGAAAATTTAAAATTTTATTTGAAGGAAAAAAACAATCTTTTCTAGAAATCATTTTCTTTTCAATTTAACAATACATAATATATTATTATTCTCTTTTATTCTCTTGTTCTATGCGTTTCAAAAGCATACATGATGTGCTTATAGACTCTAAAAGAAGAAACTTCTGGAAAGAAGTATTGCATGCCCATGTCATTTACTCCGAACTCAAGTGAAAAAAATATTTGTAGACATCCCAAAAGCTATTCAACCTTGTAAAAGAAAAAATAGATGTAAGCATGATAGGCAATATGAAATAAGAAGAGAAATGTTGATGAGGTGTTGAAGAGGAGTGTGTGAACACGTGTAGAGAATATACCTAATCATTTAGCTTTATTCAATAACTAAAGATGGTGAAGAACAACGTTTATCTGGTTTATTTGCCGGTGCAGTTATGTAATCATACTGTAAACTAAGCTGTGTTTTGAAGCTCTAACGAAGAGCAAGTTGAAAAGGTTAACCTTGGGAGGAGTTATTGGACTGAGTTGGTTGCTGAGTGGCAGTGTTTGTGCCTCTGGCGGGCATGACAACGCCGGGCCATGAGCGGCAGGTGCAACGCATTGCCTCGTCAATGCTGGCGTAGAGGGTGCGCAAGTGGCTCCCACATCCTCCCCACGTGTACCTCCCGCAGGTCCTACACTCCACCCTATAACACATGATTTTGGCTTTGAAAGTTGAAACTCTTCAAGACTTGGGAAATTCCGACGTTGCCTTGCTTCAGGGTATCGTACTATGACACGACCAGCCCATTTATAAGGGATGTATTGAGAACATTGTTAATGCTATCATCTCGTTATCATCAACGTTTTCTCGGTTCAGTTTGTTTCTTGTGTCGCACACTAATGGGGCCACCTTGTTACTGAAGATAACGCCTCGCATAGTTAGTTATTCGGTGATTCCGTTGCAGAGATTCGGTTTAGATCCCACTCTTCCTGTTCCTCCTACTTTGCCTTTCAAAACCTCTATGGACCAGATATTGCATTCAACGACTACCATGATGCCATGTACTTCGGATTAACCGCTTCAAAAAGTACATCATATTCACTTGTTTCCCAAGGTCTCTTTTTGTTGGTAGTTATTATTAATTGCTCTTACAACTTATAGTAGAGGTGGTCATTATATACAGCTATTTTTAAGTTTACGATGCAAAATTACTCCTCTCACTCGCCGCATCCTTATGTCTCTTTGTTTCTCAATCTTAAAATATATTTTCTTATCCAAGGTGAAAGAAATAGCAGAGAAATCAAAACTAGAATACTTCATACGAAAAAAAAGAACAGAAATCAATGGTAAATTAATTAGTCAGAATATCACCAAAACAATTCGGCATAAAACATACAAACCAATCAATTAGCATTTTAAACTTGCAGATTTTAACTCCTAAGTTACATTTTATATGCGTGAGCTAACTCCAAATTAACTGTGTAAAAAAGCAAAATATACAAGGGTAGACGAGTCTTTTAGCAATTTAACAAATCAAGTGGATTAACAGTGACGAAAAGTATGCGTAAAAACATGACAAACATGCGGTTGAAGGATTATCATTGGGTTGGGTGCCAAAGATATATACGAAACTGTTCGGAGAGTGAAAGGGGACTAAGTTATAATTGAAATAGGTGGATTTTTAAAGTTTTGTCATGTAATTTATAATTTTTTATTCTAAACTTATAATCATTTAATATGTTTATTTATATATTTATAATTTTATTTTTTTTAATTTTTTTTAGTTTTATAACTCTTTTTATAATTTATAATTTTATTCTCCAAAACTTAATAATTATTTAATATATTTATTTATATATTTATATATTTATAATTTTATTCTTTTATTTTTTATATTTTTTTATTATTTATTAATTTTCTAGTCTCTAAAAATTAATGTTCAAAATCTGTCATTGAGTAAACATTCTCTCTTGATTTTCTTTTTCATTCTCTGCAAATTTCCTATACTGTCTAAGAGTATTTGTCTTCTCTTAATGATAGAATTATTCATGGTAATAAAAACTACATCCATTATCCACTGTTAGTCTTATTTCTAATTTTACTGTTTCATTACTTTCGAAAGCAAACTTTGTACATAACACTTTGCTAAACACTAAGAATCCAAGAAACAACATTAACTAAAAGCATCCATTATATCACAACGGTGGAAAGAGCCATGCAAGCATGATATACTTTCATCCAGTTTTTTCAGTTGGGAAGAAACCCAGCTAATGGCATCAAAACCTCAATGTCGAAAATTTAAAATACACCCATAGAATTATACAGACCATATTTTTCCTTTAGTTTCCCAACATTTTGAAAGGAATTAAGGTTTTGTGGATATATAAATGATAAGAAAATTTAATATTAAATACTCCATATATTTGCCAAAGATAAAACATCCTTACATTTTGATCTTGGGTACAAATTCATCTTTTATACCGCTTCTCCCCCTTATGTTTTGGCTAAGCAAATATTGTAGCATGTTTCAATAATTACCAAGCCTCCAAATCATAATTATTTTATATTCAACCAAATCCAGTGCAATACCTTGAGGGATTTTAATTGATAAAGATTTTCATGGTTTTTGAACGGGCACCATTTTAAGTATTTTAAAATTTGTGACTGACATTAATTAGCTGAACACAGCCAGTGAGGAGAATAGAGCATAACACTTTCCCTGAAACATTCAATCCCCTTAAAATATTCTCTTATCAATAGTTCACAAGTATCACCAAACTGTATGGTTGCATTCAAAGTACAAATTAAACACACCATACAAATGAACAAACAACTACATCAGCAGCAAGCGTTACCATCGCCTTTTTCTTCAGTTGATTCTACTGCTTGTTTCTTTGGAGTGCTTCCTTCTGCCAAACTAGCATTTGATGCTCGCTTAACTCCTCTTCCTACCACACCAAGGTGTGTGATTCCACCAGATCCATTGGTGTGGGCTGTTGAAATGGATGGAGAGTCAAAACCACCATTTTTTTTGTCAGTACCCAACTGTGAGGAACTCATCATTCCCAGAGATGATTCCTTCCCATTGCCTGCCTTGGCAGCTGCTATTCCTAGGATCTCAGCTAGAATTGACTTAGGGTTCGAGACTAACTGTTGCAGATCTTCAAGCTGCAATTCCATAAATTCCCATTTACATAAAAAATAACAACATAGGGTAGATAGTTATCTTAACAAAGTTTACCAAGCCTACCTTCTTTTCCAGCTCAGTTGATAGACTTTTGAGAGTTTCGATCTCTGATTGTTTATCCATAATTGAATTCTTAGAGTCAGAAGTGGGGCATCTTGGCACATCCTGTGCCAACTCAGAAGTAGATGTCAAATCTGAACAACTCTTTACTTCATTTGTAAGACGATGCAATAGTGCCTTACAAACAGATGTAGCCTTTTGGCAGTAAGCAATTGCTTCTTCAGGCTTAGAACCAACCTCCAAACACAAGCATATGCGAAAGTTTCTATGTTCAGGAGTTAAGGTGGTTTGGCGGCAGGGCAGCACATATTTGATTATCTACTTCGCTTAAATTGCAGATTTAGTAAGTCAATGCAGTAATTTATTGGAACTACCTAAGTTCTTAAATTTATGACATTCTGAAGCCAGCAAAGTTTACAGACACCACAGAAACCACACATTTAGATAAGAATTAAACCAAGGATACAAGTCAGCAATTTTTCTATCATCTGGTTCAACCAGCTGTTCTAAGATGGACAGTGCCTTCTGATAATCCGAGAGAGAAGTTTCAAAATCCTCTGTATATACAAGAACCAAGAAATAATTCATCCAGCTATTAATATAATCATATGCTAATTTTTTTGTTTTTGTATTTGGGGAAAAAATAATTAGTTCAATTTAAAATGAGTATATGAATATGTAAATACCTCTCTCCAATGCAACATCTGCCAATGTTGATAATATGTCCACTTGTTCTACTGTATTGACAGATTGCTTTTCCACAATGGCTCGAGCAATATCAAGCATTTTCCATGCCAGATCCAGGTCACTCTCATCTTCATCAGCTTCTGCCAAGTCTTCAGCATCACTATCATCATCACCTTCTTCCTGGTCGTTCTTAGTGGACCCTGTTTCATATTTGAAAACAGAACATTAAGAAACTGATTTACCTGCAGCACTGCCTATACAAAAAATGATTGTATGCCAGCTTCACTAAATTTTGGCAACTATGGTTTATATTTTGATACACAGTGTCCACTTCTAACAATTTTAGGAGGCATTTATACATATTTCTATTCAGAAAGATCCTGTATAATATAATTTGCATCAGCCACGAGTTTTATCTAATTCCACTGGCTTAGTAGAAGCAGGAGAGAGAATTCATTTTTAATGTCAACACCATTACCATGCGTCAATATCTGATTAGGACATATGAACTACTTACAACAATTTTTTCTTTTAGTTTGTCATTAAGCACTTTATTAGTCAAGCTAATTACACTTACCGACATAAAGCATGTTCAAGTATAGTAACTGTAAATAAAAGGCACATCTCATATATTCTCCATCATAAAATCAATGCCATGAAACACTTCCCTTGTCTGCAATGACTGGTAAGAAGGGCGGGATAATGCCGACGCAACAAAACATTAAAGGGAAATCATGCTTTCTAAGGCAATCTAGGTAAAACGTAACAATTTTTTGTGAGACAAGTTCAAAATTTCAGATCATTTTACATATATATCCAATTAATCATTTAAAGAGCCATGGTCTGAAACGCTTTGGCCAAATAGAACAATAAATTATAAACAAAACTCAAAACCACTAAGCAGTAAGCCCTAAAGGCAACACACTGACCATCATCCACTGCTTCACCCTGCTCAGTTGATGTCACATCCTGCCCAACATTGCTCGAAAAAGAAGCAGTGGAAGATTCAGCGTTCACAGAACTCTTCACAGATCCTTCTTTGGTGGAGCCATGTTGAGATCCTTCCTCCTTCTTGGGCACATCAGCCAAAGGATCAGCTTCCTCCTGAGCCTTGTACAAAAGAGCACACCCATATTTGTAGTATGTGTGCACACACTCAGGAGCAAGTTCACCATAATGAGCCACTCTGTTTCGTTTCAAATCTTCTTTCAGAGCATTGTTTATAGATAAATGAAGGTACAAAACATCAAATAACTATCATTTTCTATTAGCCCATCATACAAACAAACTTATTCATCAACGATATAGTCGTACATGAGAATTTATACAAACCGTTCAGCAGAAATATTAAACTCCACGCACGTGTGAACCGTTAAAACAAGAAATCGGAGAATGTATTCTACGGTGAAATAAACGGAACCTGATTTCAAGAGCGCGGCTAAAGTTATCAGCTGCTTCTCCAAAATCGTTCTCTTTAATTGCCTTGTTCCCTTTCTCCATCAGCTCGTTCGCCAACTCCAGAGACTTCTGAGGATCTCTAACGGAAGCTTCAGCGTTGGACACCGACTCTGCAACGCCCTGCGCTGTAGCGGTATCCACGGTGATTCCACTCTTCTCGTTCTTGCACGGGTTTAGGGTTCCGTCGACCGCAGCAGCTTCCGCCGGCGGAGGCATTGTAACGGAGGTTTCAGACGCAGGAGCTTCTTCCGCCATTCTCGAAATTCGCTTCTAGGATGAAAGAGAAATAGAAGAGGGCAAGTGAAACGACCTCAATTCGCGAGGGTTTGGGTTTTGAGATTTTCGTTTCTGGCGCAAAAAAACGCGAAAATGAAATAAAGAAACCCGAATACGAAATGGGCTTATACCCGCACCGTTTCATTACCCAATTTTGCCGTATGACACGTGTCGTGGGAATAACGTGTTACAGCAGGGGTATTGTAGTAATTAAATAAAGTAGTTAAAGTTGAGAAGAACCCGTGGCCACACGTAGAAGATCAGTGAGGTAGTGGCCATGGTTTGTGCAATCTCATCGTCATCGTTCTCAACGCTCTCGTTCCGCGGTCTCGTCGTGCGCAATGCGACGTCGTCTTCGTGCAAGCCGCGTCTTGAGAAACCTTTGACCGCACTCCCGAGCGCGGGGCGAAGGCAGTTACTGTTTTTTCTGACGGCATCGACGGCGTTGACGGCGAGGGAATCCGTGGCGCAGGACATTCCCTTATTTGGGATACGGAAGAGTCTAAAGAAAGTGGAGGAGGAAGCGGAGGAGATTGTGAAGGAAGGGTTTGAGGCTGCAGACAAGGGGTTGGTGGCGGCGGAGCAGGGGTTGGTGGCGGTGGAGCAGGGGTTGGAGACGGCGGAAAGGGGGCTGGAAACGGCGGAGAGGGAAATAGAGGGGACGGTTAGTTTTGGGGGGTTGGCGCAGGCGGGAGCAGTGGCGGGAGCGGAGGTGTTTGGGATTTTGGTTGCAACGGCGGTGGTGAACGGTATTTTGGGATCGGAAGCTCAAAAGTCGTGACTCGTGAGTTGGTCATAAGTAATGAATGTGCATTACATTGTTGTTGTCCATCGATATCATAGTATTCAGTTGGATATGTTTTAGTGGAAAGTTGAATCCTTTTACTCTGTAAGACTGTGCCAGCTTCATTTGTTCATCTCTGTAGCTTTTTGATGTTGTATTATGTGAATGAATGCATATTAAACAAATGTTCATCCAGAAGAATCATATTAAAAGTTAAAAAGTTGAAGAATAACTACATCTCTATAAAACAACAGAAATAAAAAACACACACACAATTAATGCATTTGTGGTTGATGAAGATAATGGAAGAAACCGAGTATTGATAATTTGAGGTCATTCAACTCTTTATAAAACAAAAATAACCTAAGCAACATTAAATAAATAACTCAAAATAACATTACATAATATTATCAAGTATTATTTTAAGTTGTTTATTATTATTTCAACTAATCATCCCCTCCCTTTGTAAGATGATATATTTATTTTTTAACATCTTCAATTACACTGTAGTCATCTACAACCACACTTACAAAAAAAAATATAACAAAAATCCTCTAACATGATGTATATGTTGAATAGTATTGATTCAATATGTAAAGAGAAAGTTCTAAAAAAATTCATTTAAACTTCTTTATTTATTATAATTTGTTTTATTTTATTTTAAAGATGTATTTTTAAATAACATGAAAATGTATATATTTAAAATGAATGTTAAGAGTAAGTCGAAATAATAAAACTAACATATATATATATATATATATATATATATATATATATCATTTAAAGTTAAAATATTTTATTTTATTATTATCTTCTATTTTAATTTAAATAACTAGTACAATTCTTTTTTTTTTCACTGAAAGTATCCATTTCTGCAACAGGTCTTTATATATATATATATATATATATATATATATATATATATATATATATATATATATATATATATATATATATATATATTTATTTATTTATTTTTTAAAGAGTTGAATTTATCTTTTTTTCTTTTCCATACCACGGGAGAGGAGAGAAAAATCTTCCATTGCTCACGGTGCGGGTTGAATCTGAAATTCAGCAACTACAAGATTTTGGCTCGGTTGATGGCGCGTCTCATATCTCCAAACCCCATCACGCTCCACAGATTCCAGCCATGTCTTCCAATTCCTCGCTTCACTGCACATCTTCGACACCGTCCCATCAACGCCCGCAAATTGCAGACCTTAGCTTGCCAAACAAATCCTAAGCTCGATCGAAAGGATACCCCTCCAAAGGTTTGTTTCCGTGTCTTTGCAAAATCAGAACAGCCAACAAGGTTCTTTATTTCGTACTTTAACGTCGTTTAACATTTGTTCAGGAACAAGAAAAACTGGTGCTTGAGCCTACCACGGACAATACTCAAGCCACCAAGACAACAGCCACAAGTTCGCTTCCTCAGTTGCCGACCAAAGATGTCAACAAAAAAATCGCACTTGTTTCTACCTTAGCGGCTTTGGGGCTTTTCCTGTCTGCCAGGTTGGATTTCGGCGTTTCTCTCAAGGATCTCTCTGCCATTGCAATGCCTTACGAAGAGGTTTGGTTATCCGCTTCACTGTTTCTCTTCTCCTAATTAATTCATTAGCTCGTGTTGATTATGTGAAGATATCTGATACATGGTATCTAGCACCATATTTTTATAATACTTATGCTGTGATGTTGAATGGTCCAGGCTCTCTCCAATGGGAAACCCACTGTGGTGGAGTTTTATGCAGATTGGTGTGAGGTATGTCGGGAATTAGCTCCTGACGTATACAAAGTAGAGCAGCAATACAAGTAATCACCTTTTTTTCTTTTTGAGGAAAATACAAGTAATCACCTTTATGAACACACATGCTTCTCTTTCGAAGTAATCATGTTAGGTCCTACTTTGAATACAAAACTCTCGTCTTATCTTTAATTTGTTTTCTATTTCTAAAGATTTGCGCTGGGTAAAAATACGTTTTATTTTTCTTTCTATGTTTACTGCATATATTTTTTTTTTAGAAATAAAAAACAGACTGAAAACCAGACTATAGTTTAGTAATTAAGGGTGAAAATAAGAAACGAAAACAAAACTAAACAGAGGCCCATAATTTTGTTAGTGCTAATTCGTAGTCTTGACACCATTTAATTTTCAATATAGGGATCAAGTTAATTTTGTAATGTTGAATGTTGATAACACAAAGTGGGAGCAAGAGCTTGACGAGTTTGGCGTGGAGGGTATTCCGCACTTTGCATTCCTTGATAAAGAAGGGAATGAGGAGGGTAATGTTGTGGGTAGGCTTCCAAGACAGTACCTGCTTGAGAATGTGGATGCCCTTGCTCGTGGACAAGCATCCGTTCCTCATGCTCGTGTTGTCGGCCAATATTCAAGTGCTGAAGCAAGGAAGGTGCATCAAGTTGCTGATCCAAGAAGTCATGGTTAGATGATCACATATGCAGTACCTTTTTTGCTGTTTCACAGTAACTGGTTTCATCAGTCAGTGAGCAAAAAGTTCGTTGCTCCTGTTTACACTTTTTTCATATCCACATCACAATCTTATTATGAACATTGTGCAAGTCTGTCATAGATTAGGATCTAAAAATCTAGATATCAACCACACAAATGTTAGCTCAAATGTGTCTATATTCTCGCAGTCTTGTTATAGTTAGGATGCACTTGAATGCTGACAAGCCTGCTACTCTATTCATTATCTGTTTTATAACCATTTATATTTGTACACCCTCAACCCCCTCAAAATTCTAAATGCATGGAATTCTTAGTGTATCAGAAAGTGATGGTTTAGTTGAAACAATAGGACTGTTCTGCTCCCATCATGGTTCACTACATCCACGACTAAGAGATTTAAATGACATCTGCTGACACATGTTGTTTGCAATTGTTACATGACGCAAGTATGGATCTTACAGTGTGGTTCATCTTTTGCTGTCTTCTAAAATGTAAGTGTCTTCCTTTTGCTTGGACTCTCTTCGAGTTCTAGTGGCCAATGCCTTAAGATTCAACTATTTTATGACCATTCAGAACACATCTGAAACCTCTGATCTATTTGGTATTTCAAAGCATCACCGGCCTAATAGAAATAATCTTTTTTTTTTCTTTTACAAAATGAAAAACAACAAAACAAGCAGCAAAATAGGGCATGTGACAAGCATTCCTGTCGTCAATACCTGTCATAGCCATAGAATTCTCTGACAACAAATTTACCGAAGCAGGGTTAAGACAAAGACATGGATCGTGTGGCATCAGCGGTGCCTATAGGGCAGTGCAAAAACTCTAATTAACCCAAATCAAATTTTAATCCAAACATTTTTTTTAATTAAGCTGGTTTATTTCTTAGTAGTTCAGTTAATCGATTTTAAAAAATAGTTTTTCATCCATGAAAGAGTGTAGATCATCTAATTGTTTTTGTCTGTTAACAATCAGTTGATTCTGTTATTTTTTTCAGTTTCTTCTGCTTTGTCACAAATCTTATTAAATCCCATCCTAAGAGGTCCCTTGTCATCGTATTCCAGCTATTTTTAGTTTAAAACTGGCTTTGGCTCAAAAGGTGGTTCTGAATCGATTTAAAACTCTCTTCTATTTTGAACAAAATAAAAAGTTGTTTTATTTTAAAATTTAATTTAAATAATTAGTTCTTCAAATATTGAAATCATGCATGTTTCTAATCTTATATATATATATATATATATATAATAAATTAATATATTTAAAAATATTTAAATTACATCATTTAGCTTAACATCACGATATAAATCATACATGTTTGAATAATTAGTTTTATTTTAAAATTTAATTTAAAGAATTAGTTCTTCAAATATTATAATCATATGTTTTTAGTTTATATATATATATATATATATATATATATATATATATATATATATATATATGTTAAAATAAATTAATGTAAAATATTTAAATTACATCACTAATAAATCTCATATGAGGTCACATAACAGAATTCAAATGTTTATTGAAATTTATAACTTCGTAACATGTATTAATTATCTAACACTCTCAACCATATTATATATAAAAAAGTTGGACTAGTCAGAGATACCCAAACATAATGTTGAGTGTTTTCATTTTGAGTTGTGATTAGTACTAAATAGGCGGCTTTTCAATCATAATTATACATGGTAATTATTCATAGTATAATATTCATGCTGTCTGAGGAGTGAATCCTGTATATTAATTACGGATTATTTATGCATATAATTTTTTGGAAGTTGTTAGGAAAATAGAATCCTAATGACAATCTTATACAAAAAAAACTACAGCAACAACCTCGAAGGAGAAAACTAAGGGTTATAAGCCTTCATTATCTACCCAAGTATATCAAGGGATGACGTTTACCAACAAGCTGTTTGATGAAGGTGAGCTGTGTCCACTTGACCAATGAATAGGATCATGAACTGATACAGGGGAGCTGTCCTTCACCTCCACAGAATGAAAAAATCTCTCAATCTTTTGTGGAACTATCAATCTCTCACTCCCATGGCCAGCCTTTTTAATACCACTCAGTGACTTCTCACTTCCATTGCGAGGTGATGAACAAGTGGACCCAATCGATGAAGCCATGACAGTTTCCTCCGTAGTTGCCCATCCACTTCGTTTAATGTGTTCTAGCTCCTCTGCCACTTCCATCATAGTAGGCCTCATGTCACTATGAAAAGCAAGGCATCTAAATGCAAGCTCAGCTACCTTATGAATGGAATATAATGTCCAAGCATCTCTATGTGGTTCAAGGAAGGGATCTATGATATCATCTACAGCACCCCTCCTAATCCTATCTACGGCAAGTGCAGCTAAGTTAACCTCACTCCGAGGTCGAGAAAAATCAACCACTTTCATGGCAGTTATTATCTCTACCAAGACCACTCCAAAACTGTACACATCACTTTTATCAGAAAGATGGAAGTTCTGGTGGTATTGGGGATCGACATAACCGGGAGTTCCTTGTGGGGCGGTTGAGATATGAGAAGTTTCTGTCATGCCAAGCCTAGAAAGCCCAAAATCAGCTATCTTAGATTTGAAGTGATAATCCAAAAGTATATTACTAGATTTTATGTCTCTGTGGTAAATTGGGGGATGAATTGCGGAATGGAGATATGCTATAGCATTAGCAGTTTCAGTAGCAATGGTAAGTCTTATTGTCCATGGTAGTCCCTCACTCCTCTCTCTTTGCAAGTGCTGAGAAAGCGTTCCATTTTGCATATATTCATAAACAAGGATCTGCTCTCCCTTCTCTATGCAGCAGCCTAAGAGGCGAACTAAATTTGGGTGACTCACTGAAGAAAGGAGCTTGATCTCATTCATGACTTGGTCAGCACTGTTGGTGTCTCTTTGCCTTAACTTCTTTATAGCAACCCATTCATCATTGTGCAATTTTCCTGCATAAACTGTACCAAATGCCCCTGTTCCCAGCATGTGTTTCTCAGAGAAAGAGTTTGTGGCTTTTTCTACTTCTTTGTAGGGATAGAAAGGTATACTAGAGTTGCCTGCAGCTTCACGTAATTGGCGCTTCACTCTGGTATGCTTTCCCAACCAAATAGAACGGCGCCTGGCACAGTAGCATAGAAGAAACAGACCAGCCACCACCAATGCTCCAGCTACGATCGCTGTCAGTGTCAAGTGTAGACAATCATGCAGCATTAATCCAAATATGAAATTTCAGGACTTCTTTTTTCTATTCATGTTTGTATCAGGAGATGGAAAGAGAACGTAAAAAAACATGCACTCAGTAGTTGACAGCTTAACAAAGATTCTCGTGTAAACAAATATGCAAAATATGATTATATATAGTGAAAAGAGTAGGACATTAAGATGTTAAGGTTCTATAATACCTCCAACAGCAACACCGATTTTGGTTGCTTTTCCACATGAAGTTAGTGTTGAAGCACTGCAACTTGAAGTCGAAGCTGAGGACAAGGCAACCGTAGGAACAGACTTAAAATCAATGACAGTATTTTCTAAAGGAACTAATATATCACCATTAGATGGTAAAAAAAATCATTTCTCTAGATATGCAGTATGGTTGATTGAATAAAATAAAAACTTAATTTCTTTTTAGCTTTTGAAGACATGATTGTTATTGATCAGAAATTGCTTGTTTAGTTTTGATTAATGTTTAAAGATTTTTTTAACTCTTCGGTAAAGTTTTAATTATACACCATTTTGAATTAAAAAACTAAATCAAACACGTGCAATAGGCAAGATTGTCAAGATGTGGCACAGAAAATGCTCCACCTATTATGGCTCTTATGTCTATGACATATTTATATTAAAAAATGTGTGTAAGATATCTAGTAGAAGGGGTACTTCGTATCACATTCAATTTGCGTTGTCAACGATAAGCAAATTGTCGGTGATGTACATATATGCATACTGTTACAAGTAATATTTTCTACCTTAAATTTCGTAATTTCCTAATATTAATTGCTTACGTTGAGCGAAATCTCTCGTTTGACCACGTCTAATACCAAATCCATTCAATTCAACCAGGCATATGCGGCCAGAACATGTTGACTTTTGAATTTTTAGGATTCTGTTTGGTTAAGTTATCATCAAAACAAATAACGTATTTGGTATTCCCCCGAACCCAACTCAAAAAAGAAAAACTTAAAGCCAAGAACCTATCCAATTGTCATATTCCCTATTTTCCATGAAATTTGATTAAGGAAGACGAAAATTAGAATGAGTGAAAATAAACAGGTTTAAAAAGAAAGCTATCAATAGTTTCTTTACTTCCATATCTATCTACGCAAAAATGGCGGACCTGTAATGCCTTATGATCTATACGACCTCTAGAATAGGCCAGTTGTTTATTAGATAGAAAAAGTCAACGTGGTTTACTAGGTAGGGTTTAGGTGTGCTATATAATAATGCGTGTCTTCATACTCTGATTTTAAAAAAACTCTTACTCTATTAGAAGAATAACCTTTGAGAATACCCTTCTTCAAGATAATTCTTCTATTAAGGAGGAAATAACATGTAAAAGCAAAACCTGTTTACTCCAGGTAATAAGGCATTCGGATCCGTGTCTCAGTTACGTTTTATGCATAACGACTAGGCCATTCTCAAGCTAAAAAGGAAAAAAAATGTTTTTATATCATAACCCAGCAAATTAAGAAGAAAATGTTCAAGTTTTCTGCAAATTTAACGTGAAAAAATTAAAAAGCAATCCCGATAATTGTGTTCTATGATATACACTAAGCTCCTAACAAGTTAAAGAAGATGAGTATTTGTTTCATACGGGTCAAAATTGGGGTCTTGCCACATGGTTGTCCAGCGCATAAAGCCACAACCAGGTGTTAAATTCCCAGTCAAACGACACAATTTTTCCACGAGCTAGAACCAAACCAAACCATATAATAATAAAAATAATAAAACAATAAAAAAATGATTTTATATTATATGAACTCA